AGACAAATGCGGACTGTTTCTGAATATTGGCGATCCACCAGTTGTGAGGAATACCAGATATATGCTGTCCCTTTTTAAAGGGGCTTTTTCCTTCTTGCTTTCTTTAGAAGGACTCATCCTTGCTTGCTGGGCTCCTGCTGCCTGTGGAGGGGTCTTGGGATATTGGTGGCTTGTTTTCCTCTGGACAGCAGAATGCTAGCCTTCTAAGTTCTTGCATTTCAGGTGCAGCTTTTTTAATGGCGATGGTCACTTCATTTGTTACTGGGAAAGGTATCCATGCACATTTCTCTTTCTAGCCTCTGAAAACCCCCAGGAACACAAGTCTTGCTCGATGCATCATGAGGTCAATTTTACGGAGGAAGATTGCACATACTGTTCTTAAAAAATTTTTTTTTAAAAAAGCAACAGTTCTCATTTTTCTCACGGGAATAAACATGTTTCCTTGGCTCAAATTATAAAAATGTGCACACTATGCACATTTTTTTTTTTGGGTGGGATCGTTCTGATTTTCTAGTTTTACTGTACAAAGAAATTGCAAAGCGGTTTTCCCCACTGAGGCTGCGGTATTTCATAGAAATGTTCATCTCCAAACATTTTTTTAAAAAAACCCAAAATCTCTCCTGTCAATTTTTCTGCTAATGTAAAACATGCTTTTTAGTTAGCTGCACCACCCTGTTTACTGCACAATCATGTTATAATTCAGTAGTGCAGCCCAGTAGTTGTCCAAAATAAGCTTCATTACCCATGTAATGGGAGTTTCGGGTATCTATAGCAGGGGTGTCACACTCAATTTCATTGCGGGCTGCATCAGGGTTGTGTTTGACCTTGGGGAGCCAAAGTGGGCATGGCCAGCTCAATGTCACTCGTGTCTGGGCGCTTGTGGTGGCCCGAGCACTCTGCCAGTGAAAGTGGGTCCCGATGCCTCCTGCAACCCTGTGCCAGCAAAAATGGAGTTTGAGCTCTGTTTTCGCTGGCAGAGGCACTGCGGGCTGGTCCTTCACTGTTTCTAGGGCAGCTCCACGGGCCAGATCTAAGCACCCGGCTTAAGGATCCGGTCCCCGGGCCTTGAGTTTGACACCCCTGATCTATAGGACTGCAGTCTGAATTTAACATGCACTGTTTGATCATGTGTATAAAGTTTGGGTGGGGGAAAATGAATAATTTCTCTATTTGACATTTCCAGCTAATTTTTCTCCTGGATTTGTTGACACCACAAAATAGATTCAAATAATCATCAGTTAAGTTCCTTAATTCCTTTGGTAATTAAAGATCCCACTCTTTTTTTGAGACTCTCAGATTGAGAGTCCCAGAACCCTTTTTGATACTTATATTTGGAAAATTTACTTTAATAAAATGTTTATCAGTGCCCTCAATATGCTTATTTACACAGACAAATCTAGATCATGTTATTCTGAAGCCACAACGGTTCAAGTATCTTGGTAATGAGCAATCCAAAGAGATTTCAAAGCTGTACATCTGTCGAAACTAAGGGATATTAAAATATATTTGGATAAAAACCCATTAGATAACAGCTTGGAAAGGATAACTATTGGGGCTGTGCACAGTGTGAAAATTATTGGAAAGTGCATTGGATTTCACATGGACATAACATCTCTCTGTTATGCATTAAAGCAGCCATCTGTTTCAAGCTTCCATGCAAACCTGTAAAAAAAAAATGATGTTGCTGCTTTCAGGAGTTGCCTCATTAAAATTAGATTTAACCCTTAACCACAGATGTACTATTTCGGCTACGCTATTACAGGCACAAGGTCATAATGACCTTAGTAGCAAAAAGACATTTGATGTTTTCATGGTTGGATCTAAAAATTGATGTATAGAGCAGTAAACCAAAAAATGTATTGATCTCTATCAAATCCACATTGCCCAGGTCACTTTTTGTTTCTCCATCCTTGAACTTCAATCTTTCTTCTCTAATTTTTACATTGGTCCACTGAATGATGGTGCTAATAATTTCTTTAGACAATAATTTCCAAATCTACGGGAGGAGGTCAATTTCTGAGATTTCTAGCTTCTGGCTGTAGTCCAGGTAATTGCACAACAATATTGTGACTAGCGGTTCTGGATCTATTGCTTCCAAAAGATGCAGAAAACCATTTGAATTTGTTATTGCCATATAAATTATTGCACGACGTAGATTGTACCTGGTCATCAGTTTCATTGGGAGCTTCATCATCGCTGGTGTCAGAATCAGCGGCGGCAGCGGATTCCTCATCGTCCATTACAAAATTTTTGTCCCAATCCGATTCCACTTCCCTCAAATCACTCTCTGCTTCTCCATACCATTTTAGAACAGTTTCTTTGAAGTTTGGATCACTAAATCGCACTTTTTTTGGTGGAAAACTTGGCCCCGACATTATAAATAAAAAACCGTTACCAAAGATCTGCAGTCAATATGACCGAAACTCAAATTCAAATGCCGCTACAGAAAACACCAAATAACTGATGCAAGCGCAATGCTACATACACTCTTATTGGTGGAAAAACAAAAGTTATTCGCAACCGGAGTGGTCCATTTCTAAAAATAGGGGTGTTCCAAACATTTTGGAAAACTGTTGTGGTCAGTGTGACCGCAGGTCTGTGATTATGGGTTAAATTGATATGACCCTTAAGGCAGACAGAACCTTTTTTTCAGGTTTGCCAACATGCCTTTAATGAACAGTTGAAATTGAGAACCTGGAATGTTTCTTCTCTATAAAGATGCCCATCCTAGCTAATCCAGTTTTACTTCGTAAATACACAATTCTCTTGGCCTTTAAACTTTTTTAACATTCCCCCAACTCCGGTGTGAGAAGCAATTCTCAGTGGGATGACTTGGTGAAAGTTTACTTACATCCGAGTAAGTGCCTGAGAGCCACAGGCTGCCAATTAAAAGGAGATTATTTGAACTTCTGTGTACATTATGCCAATTAGCAAACCTGAGAGTGGTCAATGGGGATTGAAAGAGAATGATATTACAACAAATACAATACGCAGAATCTTAAGCATTCATGTTTTTTCTAATGATTGTTCAGCTATTGTAATCCCAAATAAGGCAGATGAGACCGAACAAATTACCTAAATTGTTAAGATGTATGCAGTTCTGGCATACACAGTATGATACACAGTACACAGTACATATTGATGGAAAAACAATGTATTGATTGCTTAAGATTATCAACTTGTGTTTTTTTTTTTAAAAAAAAGTATTGAAGTGTAAATATTAATGGCATGGAAAATATCACTGAGCATTCGCTGCTTTCCTTCATGATTTAAGACAAATGATCAGTTTATAGTCATTCTCTATTTTATAGTAATTGTGTCCCCTATATCTCTTGGTATACAGACATTGTTCATTAATTTTTTTTATATTATTATATAAAAGTTAAAGTAATATAATATTTGAGGACTAGCTGGGTTCTTAAAAACAATGCTGGTGTCTTTGAATTAAGATGATTATCTGTTTATAGTTTTGATGTGCTCTTACTGGCAACCTGCATTCAGATTTTGTCCAAACTAGACCAGATTACATCCAGATTTCCAAAACAGGAAGAAGTGGGTGGGGATTGCACTTTTCTTGAATTCCTTCTAGTTCTTAGTAGCTTTTACTACTGTATTGTGGTAGGTAACAATTAGACTATCTTTTCTGGAACAGAACAAAGCATTGTAAGACAATGGAAATCAGAAAACGCTAATTCTTTTCTTCAGCAGAAACTCTTCATAGGCTATAAGCTTCCTTCCTTCCTTCCTTCCTTCCTTCCTTCCTTCCTTCCTTCCTTCCTTCCTTCCTTCCTTCTGCTATTTTTTTTCTTATGTGATACTGTCCTTCCTTCTTCCTCCTTCCTTCCTTCCTTCCTTCCTTCCTTCCTTCCTTCCTTCCTTCCTAACTAGCATGGACAAAGTTGTGTCCATATTTTCTTTAAAGCCAGAATTTAAAAAATTAATACAGATTCTAATTTAATGCAACGTATTCCCTTCAGTTTAAATATGTATGCTCAAAAAAAAGAAGAAGAAAAAAGCTGGAGACATAGATAAACATTCAAAATCTTGCTTATTAAATGCACACTGACCAAGGGTATATTGTAATGGGCATTGTTATGGTGATTAATAATATTAATGTGCTACAGTTCAATTTCTGAAATTGAATTTGTGGTACTAGTAAATACAGCGATATAAATAATTATTTGGCATGGTTTTTTTTTTTACATTTGGTGTTTCATAATCCATATATTTCAAAGCATATTACTAATCTCTGTGCTTTAATAAAGCCTTTGCAATCTTACGTGCTTGGCTCTTTTTATGTGATGACCGAGCTGTCCATAAATTGCTAGGTTAAATGTGGCAATCCTATTTTGGAATTTAATTGCAGCTTCAAAATCCCCAGTTCTTTTTTTCCTTGATACAGAAGACAATGATACAGCTATATGTGTAAATATACTTTGTGATACCATATAGTATATACATTATGCCTTATAACAATCAGATGTCAACCTTCTGTTTTAGAACATACGAATACATTAGTTGTCACTTTGACAATCGGGCCTTTCTGTCTTAACACATTTGTTCTCTTTTCCTGCCTGGTCCGTACACAGCAGCCTCATCAAAATGTGTTTGCTTTTTATTCCTCATTTAATTAAAGGTCTAAATCAATGTTTCCCAATTGTGACATTTCCAGATGTGTGAACTTGGAATCTCAGAATTCCACAATCACTCATTGATTAGAGATGGTCATTGATTAGAAGTCCGAAGGTTGAAATTTACACATCTGGAAATTGCCAAGTTTGGGAAATATTTATTTAAATCCATCTGACAGAAATTGAACCGGTCACCTCTTTGACTATATATATGTATTGCAGTAGAGAGAATATATGCATTACTCTTACATGTTGGTATATATATACTATTCAGCTGAGCAGTATGGTGGCCTAGTGGTGAAGACACTCGCTTCCTACTTGGAAGGTTGGGAGTTCAATCCTAGGTAGCATCAGGTATTTCTCTCCTAGGGCACAAAGAAAAAAAATCTACTGAGAACTCTGCGTGGCATCAGAAAGGGCATCCGGCCAGTAAAAGCTCAGCTCCATCCAGTCGCCCTGAGTCTACCCCGAATTAAGAGATTACACAGGGTCGTAAAAAGGGAGTTGGTATACTATTCAGTTGCACTGTGATTATTTCTAGATGCTTGTACCTTATCGCTAGAGTAGCTTTCATTTTTCTAAGAATATTATTTTAAATTCTAAATGGATTAAATTGAATTACTTAGTGTGACAATGAGCTTCAGACAATATTGAACAGACTCAGATGATTTGGGGAAATATAAAATTCTTCAGTAAGCCAAACTGGTTGTTGTTTTTTTTAAAAAAAATAATCATCACATTTTTGCAGTAATGCTTCCATTTTTATAAATGGGAATTTTATAAAATAGTTAATTTGATAACAGATAGGAATGAATTTGGAATCCAGGTGCAAAGAGGACTTAGGTAGGTAGAGCAGAATGTGCTATTAGTCTTTCTGATGTCAATGGCAAGTCATTAAGAGAAGCCTAATCTACTTAGCATTAACTACATGTCATTTACTACTACTACTACTACTACTATATCTACTACCACTGCTACTACTACCACTGATTATACCATACCTGCATGCTTTGCTTTTTAAATAACTTGCATTTGATTCAAGAATAATAATGCATTGTGCTGGAATGATAGTTGGGGAAGATGGTGTTGAGAGTCATAAAACACATTCTTATACAAGAGAAACTGGTTTATAATAGAATGTGTTTGAATTGCTGACATGCCTGTTGTATTAATCTATTTCGCAAAACTGCATCAAAGGTGTCAGAAGCTCATTCATTATGATATTTAGAGCTCCATATACAAAGTGGATATTCTTAGCAGTAGCATATGAAATATATATTGTTACTACTCCTAATGTAAAGAAAGATACAGAATGCCATAATAAAATTGTAAATGATGACTGTGATAAATATTGTTTGGGTCTAACGTTTTACAAACGGAATGCCTTTAAATGAGTTTAAAATCTTAACTAAAGTTCTGTCTCTCTAAATCGGCAATCTATATTTCAGTGGAAATCAGTCTCATTTCAGTGGAACTTTCTTTACAAGTTAGAGTTGCATGCCAAAGCGATACTAAAATGACAAGAGATAGGAGTAGTAACAGTATGATTGCATCATTTGAAATTATAATACTGTAAACAACAGAGTTCTGATTTTAGGTACAGTTTTCATAATCTTAGAGAACAGTGAGTCTCCAATCTTTTTTCCAGATGTTGTCAATTGTATGTATAAATGTTGGCCATAGAATATCCTTATGTAGCTTTCCCTTTTGATTTTGTCAGAATAAATATAATGACACTGACAGATACCGACAGAATATTTGTAGTTCAACTATAAACTACATATTTCTGGGATCCTTGGTGCTCTCTGGGCTTGGTTATTTTTTTGCAGTTGTTTCATTACCCACCTAGGTAACATCATCAGTGCTAGAAGAGAGTGGGAAGTTGCTCTTTTTTATACACTAGTAGCTTGCCCTGTCAGTGTTGATGGGGGTGTTTTGGTGGTTCCTTTGTTAGGCTGTTATTTATTGTTTGAAAGCCACCAAGTTCAGAGAACCAAGGACTTCATAAATATAATGAGTGAATACTGGTATCCGTATTTTGCAGGATAAGTACAACTTTGCTACTTCTCACTCCCTAAAATGTTTTCACTAAGAATGATTCTTGTTATGAGTTCTCCCTTGATATTTTGGCATTCCTACGTAGCTAGAATTACTGAAAAAGAGTTTGGTGATTATCCTTTCTCTCAGGATGATTACTTTATTTTATTATGGCTTCATCTCCAGTTCTGGTACTTCAGGCAGAAATAGAACGATAGCATCGGACGGCATCTGAAATCTCTATCTCAGTTTCTAATCAATGCCTCCTCTACATTTCTTAATTATGACTGTTATCGTTTCAACTGTTTCTTGCTCTCCAAATGCAACAGATGATGATGTGAATGTGCTTTAAGTGTCGTTGCTTAACAAATTGTCTTTCCTTTATCTCATATATGATGGGATCCTCGCTAGACAGAGGTAACAGATAGGGGACAGTTGTATAACTGCACCCTGGTGTGTTGTTGATGGTGTCTTTTGTTCCCTAATACTGCTCTTAAATTTGTGCTTGTGATTTATGTGCTCTCGTGCTTGCATGCTTCATATACATTAACCACAACTCACTTGATCTTTTTTTAATATTTCTACTTCTTCTCCCTGTGTGCGTGCGTGTATGGTGCTTGCCTTCTAATGTCTTCTAATACTTCTGGGGAAAAAAATTAACTATTTTAAAATGATAGAACTCAGCCTCTCTAACCCAATTTTTGTATCTTTTTTTGGCCTTTAAAACTTCAGAAGGCAAAAAGACTTAATAGCTTTCAGTTTACTAATTAAATCTATGGATAGAACGAGAAAGAAAAGAAATTGTTGGATCAGAATTGCCTGCCTGCATTACAGTTACCAACTGATGATAAACTGTGGCCTCTTAAGCATGACACTGAGATTAGATTTGGTCTTTTATCTTTATTTTCATTAGCGGAATCATTTCCCAGTCCTGCCATTAAAAAGAGTTTTTGCATTATGTATGCCTCGCCAAAAATCATAGCCAAGAGAAATCCTTTAAATCACGTCTGCAAAGCTTCAAAGCTAGTTGCAGTTTTGCAGTTTTAGAAAATACGTGGTACTATTAATTCTGGTTTCCTGAAATGTTCATATAGCATAGTGCAACACTGCTATTAAATTCAAGTACTGTAACCTGCTTCCTATTTCATAATCAAATTAAGAGATGGGCAGTATTTTATTTGTGCATAGAAGTATAAAAGCTCTCCAAATCAACCATCAATAAATTCTATCTGGTCACTATGTATTAAAAATGGCAACATGGAAACTTTAAAATGCCTACTAAGTTAGAAGGAAACAAGGCATATTTTGATTTGCCTTGGATTGAAAATGTTAATAACACGATCCTAGCCTGCTCCCTTAGAAATAATTCCTGTATTCAAAAGGATTTAGACTCAAATAAGGAGTGAAATGTATGTAAAAATATAGATAGAAGAGAACTTGGTTTTAATATTTTAACCCCCAAAAGCCCACCTGACAGATTTAAAGGCTGGAAAGGTATCTGAATGGTAATAGAAGGGATTTAGAAAATGAATAATGGCAATAATAATAGAGTATTAAAGCTGCGGTCTGTTATTAATTAAGTCTATTTTTCCTCTCTTGGGATTGTGGTATTCATAATCTTTTCAAATAGAGAATTTCCCAGGAACGTGAGAAGTTTGCAGATGAAGACAGCATCTTTTATGCCCTTGGAGAATGTGGCTTGATTTCCTTTTCTGATTATATCTTCCTCACAACAGTCCTGTCAAGTAAGTACATGTTTTTATTCTATACTGTTTCCATTTTAGTTTTTTTTTCTTCTAAATACAGAAAAACAGAGTTAAACACCATCGGCATTGACAAAACCATCAGTCAATTGCAAAAGGCAGCTTTGCTTGGAAAAGCTTACATTCTGCGACAATTACCTCAATGATTAAACAATATCTGCCTACCCCAAGTCCTTGGGAAGGACTTGATGGGTGGATAAAAATGTCAAATGCAGTTTAGACATCTGGCTGATTGTGCAACGCGCCATAACAACAATGTTTTTTTGTGATTTGATCATGCTCACAGTTGTTGTCAATGTGCATTCAACTCTCCATTTTTAGATGATTTCTTTGGGTCCCATCTGTGGTTGATGTATATCAGAAATGAACAAATTCTTTTCTTCTTTCTCTTGGAAACATTCCTGTTTTATCAATTTTGGATTTGGCTTCAGTCCTCTGTCATTTATCTTGCTGTAGAAAGAGCAGCACTAATTCGGTCTTGTTGAGAGTATTCTGTCTTGTTTCTCTATCTTGTTCTAAGTCATTTGGCTGGGAAAACTCCACATATTCTGCATTTGGCTCCCCTGAGAGAGGGAAAAAATTATATGTGCATCATTAAATTCTCTATCTGGAAAGTTTTGAAATCTCACAAAACTTGTATGGGAATTAAAATTCAGAGCACATCAGCTCCATATGTGCTAAATGTTATATTCACCATAGTTTCCAACAGAATCCTACCAAATCGAGCATTTTTGTTCTGTCATTGAATTGTGGCCTTTCCTGCCGGTGTACCAGTTTGCTACATAAGAGCTAACTTTCCATGTTTGAATGGGGAGGTGAGACTTACCGTATTTCCCTGAAAATAAGACCATGTCTTATATTAATTTTTGCTCCAAAAGACGCATTAGGGCTTATTTTCCAATTAGGTCTTATTTTCAGGAAAATGTATGGTAAATGCATCTGTCTGGCTGACGATCGTAACTGGGGCTTATTTTTGGGGTAAGGCTTAATATTACAAGCACCCTGAAAAATCATGCTATGGCTTATTTTCTGGTTAGGTCTTATTTTCGGGAAAACACGGCAGTTGAAGCCTTTTGTTCCTCCCTTCCCAGTTGCTGATCAAAAAAGTAGAATGTTGTGATGCCCAAAGGATTGAGATAGTGAGTCCAGAAGACAACAAGGGCATTGCTGGTCAGCTATATTTATCTTAGAAAGCAATTGTGTACGTAGCTGAGAGAATTTACCGTCTTTTACAGAAACACACACCTTGCACAAAGAGAATAATAATCTGTCTGCAAATGTTTTTGTTTTGAAAATAACCAATTTGGCCAGGTAAGTAGTCTGTTGGCAAGAAGAAGCAATACTATAAATATGAAATGTTTTTCCCATTTTCTGCTGTGCACATGTATTATTAGGTCTCATTTTCAGAATAGCACAACTGAAAGAAGCTGAGGCATCAGAACAGCCATTCCCATGTTAGGTATAATTACAGATTGCACGGCTATAGAAACTAATTTGATTTTGAACCTAATAACTGCAGCAAGACTCTTGGTGGCGCAGTACTGGAAGAAGGAAGATTTACCTACTATTCAAGACGACATTAAAAGTAGTAAATTTAGCAGAAATGGCAAAAATTTTAGCATATCTAAAGGACCATTCAAATGAGAAATATATGTTAGAATGATGGATTGATTATATTCAAGGCAAATATCGGAGAGGAAAATGCTTGTTCCGCCAGTAAAATCTTTGCTGTGGAATTAAGAGTTTAAAGATACGACCTGCAGCCCGCCAAGTTCTTTTATATCTTTACGAGAACGAGTTGATCTTTTCCATGCATTTTTTAAAAAAAATATAAAGTTGCATAATGAATTCAGCAGCCTCAAGGCTTTTGATGGTTCTGCTACTCTTTGCACTTCTATGATTATAAAATGTTGGGACTAGCTGAGCTTCTGATATCATAGAATCTTCATAAACAGCTATCCGATCAGACTGAACATGTCACCTAGTACAAAAAGTTCCTGCAGCTGAGATATCGATCCCACTCAGAGTGACACCTTCTTTGAGTTGTGTAGATTGCGGACATCCTAACGCATGCCATTTAAATGAACTGTCAGGGAGGTGGAGTAAAAGGAAAGTAGAAGAAAGGGACAATAGAAAGATTAGTGTTTTTATACCTTAGCAAATGGTTAAGGTATAAGGGACGTGGTGGCTCAGTGGCTAAGACACTGAGCTTGTCGATCAAAAGGTTGACAGTTCAGCAGTTTGAATCCCTAGTGCCACGTAACTATCCCTAGTGCCTAGTGCCACGTAAGGGTGAGCTCTTGTTACTCGTCCCAGCTTCTGCCAACCTAGCAATTCGAAAGCATGTAAAAATGCAAGTAGAAAAATAGAGGCCACCTTTGGTAGGAAGGTAGCAGAGTTCCGTGCACCTTTGGCATTTAGTCATGCTGGCCACATGACCACAGACATGTCTTCGGACAGCACTGGCTCTTCAGCTTTGAACGGAGATGAGCACCGCCCCCTAGAGTTGGGAACAACTGGCACATATGTGCGAGGGGAACCTTTACCTTTATCTTTAAATGGTTAAGTATGTTGCTAACTCATATTTATTAAAATGCGTTGAGTGCAATTTGTTCTCAGGCATCTCCTATATTGGTAAGAGTCTGTGGGCAATGATTTGCAGACAAGGATGTACTTGACAGTATTCACTGTACGATAATGCAAATTCTTCATGATTGTACCCTTGGGCAACTAAGCGCTACGTTTAATCAATGTTATTTGATTAAAGTTACTTGCATTTACAGGGAGTAATCAATTCTGTTCACTTTCCTGATAAGGCCATATGCCAGTTATCAGAAAAGTGTAATTACTAGAAGCATTCTCACATACCTAGAGTTAGAAAGTGAGAGAAAATTATGGCCTATTGTGTGCAGTAGAAGAATATAGCCTTCATTGTCCAAGACTGCAATAATAATTACTGGATTGCAAGGGATACCTGGAATCCAGGCCAGCTTCTCTTTATTTTTTGCTTAATTTAAATCACAATACAATTACTTCTTCTTTGGAATTTGAAGATAATTATATTCTCCATCCTTGTCATTCCCTTTTGAAGATTGCTTTTATCTGTTGTCTTGATATTCTCTTGTTCCTCCTTTGCTGTGCTGGTGTTAAATTATCCGCCTATTTCAAGTGTAGATGTTTTGCTACTGAGAGAGATACTGTACGAATTGCTTTTGGTGTGCTCACCTGCTACCTTAAGCATGGACTGGACATGAAATCAGAATCTGCACATTGTTTTCATTCCTTGGCTCTTATTCTTTGGTCCTGAGCTGTAATAGCCCCTTTGTTTTCTTCCTCCAATAAAATAATCTGTTACTGCTTTTAGTGAATTTAACTAGGAAGGACAAGAACAGAATAAATTTACCTTTATTGGAACATTGAATACTAATGAGCTATTTGTATGCAGTCATAATTGCAGCTATTAGTTTGGTTATATAAACAAAATGCAGCGGAAGGAACTCACACTTTAACACTGCAATCAAATTGAAGTTCAGAAAAATTAACTTGATACAGACATGCAGGAACTATTGCCTAGGCCTATGGCACGTGTGCCAGAGGTGGCACGCAGAGCCCTCTCTGTGGGCACATGCCGGAGTGCTGGAAAACGGCCCAGAAAATGGCCGGGAAAACAGCCCAAAAAACGGCCAAAAAACCGGCATGTGCGCACTGGCCAGCTGGTATTTGGGTTTCCGGTGCTCCGGGGCGCACACATGCACACACTTGTACGCGTGTTCTGGTTTGGCACTCGGCCCCAAAAAGGTTTGCCATCACTGGTCTAGGCAAGAGGGGCGGAATTGCAAAATAGCTAGATAACATTTTGGAGCAGTTCAGACAAACACCTCCATAAGAAGGAAGAGCAGGTACGCATAATCAGACTTGCAAGATTCTGTTATAATAATCAATCTCAATAAAAAGTAATTTTGGCCTTCCTTTGGAGTTGATTGCCTGGTCTGATCTATCTATGTAGTGGAGCTAACAGATGGACTTACCTGGGTGTGAGAAGTTAGTGGTTGTTCCTCCTGAGTAGAGTGCCCTGGGAGGGATTTCTATTCTATTTGCCTAATGGAATCTTCTATGTAAACATAGAACATTTGTGACCATAAGTAGTGAAACACTTCCTCTGTAAGCAACATGGAAAATGCAACCTCATTGAAATTCAGTTAGTTGAAATCTGTACTTGTCTGTGGAGATTCTCAGTCATCCAGGTCCTGGTTATCCCAAAAGTGCTTTTTTCAAGAGGCAACTGGACTTTATTTATTTATTTATTTATTCATTCATTCATTTATTTATTTATTTATTTTATTGCGATTTATATGCCGCGATTCTCCCGAGGGACTCAGGGCGGCTTACAAAAACAATATCCAATACAAATCACAATAAAATTAAAATCAACAACCCAATTAAAACAATTTAAAATTATAACAATGTACACCCATAACGGATCAGTTAAGTTGACGAAAGAGCCACGTCTTCAACTCACGACGGAAGGAAAGGAGGTCGGGGGCTGTCCTGAGCTCGGTGGGCAAATCATTCCAGAGGGTCGGGGCTCCCACAGAGAACGCTCTCCTCCTGGGGGCCGTCAGCCGACATTGTTTGGCTGAAGGCTGAAGACATTTCGCTTCGCATCCAAGAAGCTTCTTCGGTTCTAAACTGAAGAAGCTTCTTGGATGAAAAGTGAAATGTCTTCAAGAAAAAACAAAGAAAGTCCAGTTGCCTCTTGAAAAAGCACCGTTGGGAGCTCTATACTTGTAACCAGTGGTGGGATTCAAATAATTTAACAACCGGTTCTCTGCCCTAATAACCGGCTGGGTGAGTGTAGCCATGGGGGGGCATGGCCAGGGTATGTGACGGGCAGCACTTGGCCTCCTGCAGCCCCCATGGAGCAAAAATGGGCCGTGGGGGGGAAGCACTGCCCCCCCATGCCCCGTTTTGGGCCTAGTAGG